TGTGAAACGACCTTTAGGACAAATAACAGCATTCAGTAATTGCTGACATTGATCTTACAAGCTTCCTTGTAGGCTAAATTCAGGCGCGATTTTCTTCCATTCATCAGTGAGAAAAGTCCCGAGCTCTTTTTTTTTATTCGAAACTTCATGCTTCTGTGCATGTTTTTCCAATTCCCACGAAAAGTTCTCAATAGAATTGTGATCGGGTAATTGTGACAGCGTTTCAAGGCGCTTTGGTACATTATTCCGTGTGGCCCACCTAAGATGTTTCCTTCAATTTTCTCCTGAACCGTTGCAGATACTGAGATGCTGTTTTCACTAAAACTACTATATGCAAGGGGCACATATGATCATGCGTAATATTATTCTATTGCATTTTTTATTGCAGAGATATTGACCCAATTTTGATTTTTTAAATGGAACCGTGTAGATATTTTAGGTTATCATAACAAGCGTGAAGAGACGAGTTCATAAATATGCATATCGCCATGTGTTACATAACAAAATTTTCGAGAAATTAAGAATTTTGAAGACGCACGCCGACTGCTGGTTTCCGTAATCTGAACGACAAATGCCGGGTGATATGCGGCAAGGCCATTCCCTTCCGTTACGTCGACCCTGCGATAAATGTAGTGATGCAATGTGCTCACGAAAACCCGCGATTTACTCTTTAAGGCTACACCCTCTCAGTCCTGGAGACAATGTATTCACCCATAGCCATCTGCGCAAATCTGAACGCCACAAGGTATTATTTTTTTAAATTAATTAAATACTCCAAGATATGAGAAACTATTTGAATTATTAATCGTAGAGAAAGCAAGGGAAGATTGGAGGATTATGGCCTCGCCGCATATCACCCGGAATTTCTCGTTCAGATTACGGAAACCAGCAGTCAGCGTGCGTCTTTAAAACTCTCAATTTCTCAAAAAAATTTTTACGTAACATATGGCGATATGCATATTTATGAACTCGTCTCTTCACGCTTGTTATGATGAGCTAAAAAATCTATAGGGTTCTATTTAAAAAATGGAAGTTGGGTCAATATCTCTGCAATAAAAAATGCAATATAATATTTGCAATATATTATTATGCAATGCATGACCATATGTGCCCCTTGTATATGGTAGTTTTAGTGAAAACCGCATCTCAGTATCTGCAACGGTTCTGGAGAAAATTTAAGGGAACATCTTAGGTGGGCCACTCGGTATAACAACCATAACTTCAAAATATGCGCTGTGTGTATGAACGCGTTGTTCTGCTGAAAGTAATATGTTGGCCTCAGTCCAAGATTAACTGCACTATGTTTGAAATATAATGGAGATTCAATAAAATAGAGATTCCCGACACCTTACTCAGACCTTACATGCAACCCCATACCGTAACGGAGCACCCGCCGTGCTTTACAGTTGCACGCAAATTTTTATCATCTAGGGCTGCGTTTACCTTCTTCCACACGCATTGTTGCCCATCTGATCCAAATGACTTGAATTTACTTTCATTGCTGCAAATCACTGTTTGCCAGTACTCCGAAGAGTGGTTGCTGTCATATCTCGCAAACTGCAGCCTATTGTGGTAATCTGTCTTACTAATCGAAGTCGTCTTCTTCGCTTCTCTTCCATTGTAACCTGCGTCTCCTAGTACTTTTGGGACAGTTTCTGAAGATACAGTTATCCATGTTGTGGAAAACACCAACGGAGTCATTTTAACCACACTTTGATTCGTGCTGATGTAATTGACAATATTTATTTTATCTCGTTCGCTGAGTATCGGCTTTCGGCCTCAGCCTATTTTATTAAGTAATCTGCCATCGTACTTGAATTGGTCTACCATACCTTGAATAGTTGAATGATGTCTTTTCATTGTCACTGCAATACCTCTTAGTAATCTTACCTTTGAGGCTAATTTCTCAGTAAGTCTTCGTTTCTCCACCATCGTTTCCATTTTCAGGGCCATTTTCAATACGATTATACCCTCCGCAAATCTGACCATCAACTAAACGGTCACAACTTTGTGCTGAAGAAAACATTTCAACGGCTACTTTTCAAAGCGCACTTGTGATGGTGTACGTTCATTTCTGTACAACGCTTATTTGTAGGTATCACACAAAATATTTACTTTTATATCTAATAAAGCATTTTGTTTCTGCTTTCAAATTGCACTAGTCCTTCCAGGAAACCTCAAATATCAAAATTACATATTTTATTTCAAGGAGTATTGATATGAGCAGAATTCATGGTAACATTTAAGGTGTACAAAAAAGGTGTACGTTCAATTGTGAGAGACAAAGTATGTTTTCAGTACTCAGGTTGGTTGGTTGGTTGGTTGGTTGTTAGTGATTCCGGATGCGTGAGGTCATTAGTCTCGGAAGTGTCGTTCATAATTTTTCCTCGGGAGATGGCGATGATCTTTTTTTTCACGCTTGATAGCGAGATCCGGCGCCGACCTACCGTCGGCTCGCGGGATTTCCCCAACCAGGTATCTCCCACAGCAGGGTTCCGCCCCAGCAGGGACAAGTTCTAAGCTTCCGACCGGTCTCCCGGCATGTGTGGTAGTGTAGTGCATTTTACTATAAGTGTGTATAAGGGGAGAGAATGGAACAAGGAGAAGGAAGGAAAGAACGATTGCGCGCGGTCCTGGCCTGTTTGTAACGGTACTTCTCCGGCATTAGTCTTGTGTTGATAGGAGAAACCACAAAAAACTACCGATCACAGCAGCCGGCCTCTAGACGTCTTCTCCAGACAGCGACTAAATTCGACCTAGCTATCTAGCTAGTCTGTTAGTATTCATTGCAGTGGAACACTTGTTGCCCTGAACCATGTCAGCCGTTCACACTAACAAGCTAGTGTGTAAAATCTTGCCACTGTCGGGACTGGAACCTAGGATATCCTGGTCAGAGATACTGCAGTGACGTCAGTTACATTGAGCCACCTCTCCCAGTTTTAATAATCAGGAAATAATACTTAGAGAATTGAACATGTTTTTTTATAAAATTCTAGTCATCAAGTATACATTCATTGTAAATTGTATACTGTTAAAAAATGTTAATGTTAAGTATTTCCAGTGATTGATTTATAAAATTTTAGGTCCCGGTAAGCGCCCCAAATTAATTATTCATTTAATAGAAATAATAAATTTAATAATTACTCCCTAGGCACCGAAACGCCGGTCCGTCGCGTTTCTCCAGAAATCAACCCCTGAGTATTTGTAAAACATGTGGCCAAGCACAATGCTGAAAGTAAGAGTCCCAAGACATTTGTCGCTGGAGTATTTGAATGGGAGGTCGTCAAGACTGCCTCTACTCTCTCTTCCTCCTTTATTTACATAAATAATAAATTTTATATATTTTCGCATTCGTTAACATATTCAGCAGGTATACTCGCATGAGCCAATGTTCATGCTGAAGTGCAGTTTAAGTAACCTTATAACGAAAACAAAATATGCGATACGGTTGAAAGACAACAAGATTACTAACATTGTTGACAAATATATTTTACACAAACCCCTATACTTTAATTCTCATAAGCGAATAGCGAGAAGGAATCAGAGGGCTCAAAGCGGAGCACCAAGAAATAAATGTGAGTGAATCACGCCATATACGAAAACCCGGAAAACGTGTCTCTCTCAGGAAGATATGACAAGGTCTTCCATGTACTTATGAAAGCACGCAGAAATCAGAGAACAGCTCAATCTCGTTGTTGACCATCGAAGGGCGGAGGATTAAGTTGGGGCGTGCGTGCGTGCGCAGGCAGGCGGTGGAGCGAGCGGTGGTGGCGGCGGCGGGGGAGGCGGGCGCGCAGGCGGCGCGGCGCGCGCACCTGGGGGCATTCCTGGGCGCGGTGGCGCTGCTGGCGGCGCTGTCGTACGCGCGCGTGCTGGCGCTGGACCGCGTGTGCGCGCGCGCCGCCAGCCGCCTGCACGACGCCGCGCTCCGTCGTGCCCTGCGTGCGCCGCTCAGCCTCTACGAGCAGCGGCCGCAGGGCGAGCTGCTGGGGCCCTTCTCCGCCGACATCGCCGTGCTGGACGGAGGCCTGCCCACGGGCGTGTGCTGGTGCATGCAGGCGAGTGCTCCGTCTCACGCGCAGCCGCTCACGCGCTTCTATCATGTGCTCCTCGTCCACTCCTCGTCCACCAGACGTAGCGTCAGCTGAGCATCCCCACGTAAAATACCAACCAAAGAACCCTAAATATTCTATCGATAATGTTGCAAGTGAGTGAAATACGTTTTTTTAAAATAAATTTTAAAACCGATGTCCTGTGTTTTAAATCGGCGCGTTTTTTAGAAGCCGGACTCTCATTGCTTGCACGCTAAAATGCTTCTAGCGTCTACCACGAGTTTGTGTCGGGCAATGGCGCATGCGCAGACGGCGAGGTCCCCCTCCCCTCTTCACTACTGTCCCAAAGATTCCAGACTGCTTTACGTTATCGCACGGTTGAGGAAAGGGGCGTATGAGCAAGTTGCTCGTTTTCGTGCACGAGAACGCAGCACACTTGAGGTTGTCAGTGAAGTATTTTTTCTTCTCACTGGGGATTCTCTGCAAGGCCATGGGCACAAACAGTAGAAATAGTGCTTGCCTACGAATTCCCAATTGATATGTGAGAAGTTAAATTCGTACATAAATATATTAAATATTAGTTTGGTCTAAAATTTATAAATTAACAAGTGATTTCATTGCCAATCGCGCATGGGAATTAAATCTGAGCCATTACATAATTTGCTTTCAAGAAATATTAATGAAATTATATTATGAAAGCACGCAGAAATCAGGGAATGATTAAATATGAAATATAATTTCATAAACCTGTTGGAGTATTGTAACCCAACATAGATTCTAACGCAAAATATGAAAGATCTTTGTCGTCAGTTCCCTTTATTGTCGAGGATCCCCAAACGCGCGAGCCACGCTACGCCACTGATAAGTAGACTGTAACTAATATTTACAAGGCCCTTGTGATCCCACAATTCACTGCTAATGTAATTTCTGCCCGCTGCGTCGCCGCAGATCGCCCTGGTGCTGACGGGACTGTTCTCCGTGGTGATCGCGTCCGAGTGGCGCACGGCCTTCCCGGTGGCGCTGTTCGTGGCGGCCGCCGGCTTCGCCATGGGCAAGCTCTCCCTCGTGCCCAAGAAGTACAAGCAGCTCGAGGCGCGCTGTGAGTACACTTCTAATTTTCCTCATTGTTACGCCTTCTGCCGTAAAGAGTTAATTTTATTTTGTCATTCATTTTTGTTTAAAAAAGAAATTGTATAACTGGTTAATTTTATGTATATGTATATCTGTGCATATTTACTAGGTGTAACTAAATATATGTTCTTCATATAAATGTAGGCATGTATACTATGTGGGGCAAGTGTGTGTTTGTGTTATGTGTGAACGTGAGAGGGAGCATTCATGAATAAGAATGTGTATGTATGTATGTGATTTTATATGTGTGTGTGTGTGTGTGTATGTGCCATAGATGTATACAGGTCTGTGTATATTTATATATTGAGTGTATATGCTCGAAAGGAGTGTATTGTAAATTGTTTTTGAATTATAAGTGTTCATATATTGTAAAACTGTAGGGTTATGGCTACTACCTGGCAATCAGCCAATTGTAGCCAAATAAATATTATTATTATTATTATTATATTATTATATTCGCAAACGTCCGTCTCAACGGGGCTCGCGGCCTCGGAAATGTGTCACTACCACTGTTAAAAAAGATTTATTTTATGAGAGGAAGGAGGTGTTACAATGGCCTAAGCCTTCGCAACTACAGGAAAACCGAGTGCGTTGGTAATGCGTCAGACGACAACGGTGCGCGAGAGGAGACTCGTCCAAGCGAGGAGCACCGAAGGCGGCCGTTTCGATTCATTAGTATTTCCAAGCGTGTCACCTGCTAAGGTCATTAGTCCCGTAAATGAAGTGCAAGTTTTATCGCGAGTGGTGGCGGCGGCGAACTTCCCCCGCTGGTTGATGAGATCCGGCGCCAACAAACCCATCGGCTTTCCTCACCCAGGTATCTCTCACCAGCGGGGCACCCAATATAGGAATACTGAAACTCTGTAGAATTCAATAACAAATCGTTAGTGAGCTTTCAGTGTCTAATAATCGTATGCTTATGTTCCAAAGACTTTATTTCGGATGTTAATAATACAAAACTTGTGGTAGAATAAATTTGATAGAATAGATTGAAAGCAGCATGAGACTAATACAACTGTGTTGGTGCTAGTGTTGATATTATATTAGATACTCTTATGAAAATGGATAAGATACTCTTTTTGAGTTATTTGTGCTGCTCTTAATTTCATGTAACGTTTTCTTGTGTAGGATCTTGAAATTTTATAGAAGTATCTGATAAGACCGAACTGTATTTATTCCGTAAATAAATAAATAATAATGTAATAGAGCCAAGAACATTCAAAAACTGAAATTTTCTGAGCATTGAACTTTCCTGCAATTTTCAAATTCCTAAAAACGGCAAGTACGTAAACCTCTTAACTCAACAAATTGAATACTTTTTGATCCAATGGTAGTTTCAAAATAAATCTCGTGAAGACCAGTAATTTTCTAAAATCTCAAGTATTTACTTTCAAAGTAAAATTTAAAATTTCCTTATTTGATTTTACTTTTAAAGTAAAATTTGTTTATCCTAAGTTATTAAAAAGGGAACTCGAATTATTGTTCCTCAGAATACTTTTATAACCCATGGTAACCCAAGGATGACATTTTTCAGGTATGGAGCCAGTGCTATCTCACGTCTCGGAAACGTTGGAGGGGCTCGTAACCGTCCGCTCGCTGCAGCGCCAGCACATGTTCAAGGAGATCTTCGAGGCGCGGCAGGTGAGGGCCCCAGTCACATTGTGCAAATGCACTGGTCGTGCTACAATTACTCATGTCTTATTTCACGTGGAGAGACTCGGGCCGTCAGGCCCACTCTTCCGTCTGACCTCGCAAATTGCTTTACGCTTCCTTTCACCGGAGAAAGAAGGATTCACTCGTGTAACGGAACAGGAGGTTTGAATTAAGTTCAGAGGCTTCATTTAGACTAGAGGATCTTTTAGATGCAGTAAATCACCAATATAACGTAACCGGTCATACTTCCCCTCAGAGAGAATACGGACAAGATGCGCTTTTTGACGCAAAGATATTTCGTATACTGCCTGCCAAATTGCAGAGCTCGGTCTCTTGCCTACCAATTATTTGCTAATGCCATATGTGTAACTTCGTTATATGAGATTTCCCGCCACATACTGTTTGGCAAAAGGTAATCATCTTCGTCCCCCTATAACCTCTAGAGGTTAGTAACATTTATTCATAGACACTCTGTCAATGATATATTCATCCATTTGAAATTCAAATCAGTAAATTTAAATGTTTAATGTATTTTAAAGTGTGACCAGTGAGTCAGCGAGTGAGTCATGTCGATCATGTGCGGAATTCCAAAAAGCCAATCAAGCAAAGGATGACATGTAAATTGAATAAATGGGGTGATAACTAGCAAATGAATCAGGCGGAGGTTTTCGTTTGCCATAAGGCGTACTCAAAAATGTTAAGCTTTTGCGATTCAAAAATACAAGGGTTTTAACAAAAATCAGAAGTGGGCCATTTCTATATTTTACTCTAGTAAAAGTGCAACAGAAAATATTTTATTTTTCAGAATATTTTCAAAATTCGTAGTTAATTCGAAAAAAATCGTGTTATCGGATCACATTGTATATTAGAGAAAGCAATTTACTATTTATAGGAACAAAAAACCTCCTTTCCGGTATCGAAACGAGTTTTTCTGTCGAAAAACCACACTTTTGACTGCAACATTAACAATGTACTCGTATTATTCCATACAACGGAGAGTAATGATTTGTCATCCTCCCTACAATTTTTGTTAGGCGTTTCCAATAACCATTTCCAACCATATAATATCGAATTGTTACTTTTAATATTGACTCTTTTAAAAGGTAATTTAATAGTTGGTCAAATTTCGAATCTATTTAGAGTATCTTCATTAATATTTGAGAACAAGTCAATGTCCCTTGATATCGATCGTGTGAGCGACGATAGAGAATTATTATTTCTAGTTTAAATGTACTGCTCATGGAACTAAAGGGTGATTGAACAATGAAATTAGGGTAAACGTGTACTATTTCAGTAAGAACGTAAAACAAGATAATCTCTCTTCTACATTCATTCGTGCTGTCTTTCTGACGTTTTCGCAGGATGTGGTCACAACCGCCTGCATTGCCTTCGACACCACCAACACAGTCATCAACTTCATCATCAACCTTCTCGTCGCAATGTTGGTGTCCGGGAACATGCTTGTTTTCTTCCTGTCTGACACTGGTGAGTACGCAATCCCAAAGCGCCCTGATTGAATGGCTCTGGTAAATCGCTTGAGAATTAATATTGCACGCTGTGAACAATCTTAATGTAAAAAAACCGTTAAATGTGCCTGTTATTTTTTTTCTTTTTCGACATTACTCTGAAATTCGTGGACTAAGTTCGCCCAAATGTTGCATGAATATTTTTGAGCGGTCGCTTGACAATGTTATGCCAATTTTTTATCGTTTGATTTAATGCAGCCTGCGGTGCTCAAGACATTTATGGATGACGTAGCAGCAAAGCTGACTTGGTCGGAGCTTGGAGGGTGGGTGGGTAAGGGGGCGCTTGGTGGGGAAGACAGGTCAGGGGGCAAGATGACTCGGCCAGGAGCGAGGACGGAACCGTGACAGGCATGACTTCGAATTTACATTACACGTAAAATTCATGTATTTTTCTTTCCAAGAGTTGATTGTACATACCCGAACAACGCCGGATTTCTTAAGTTAGTTATGAATAATCATTAAAACGACATAGACCCGGGTGGTTAGCATACTCGCTTTCCGTGCGAAAGTGCTCGGGTTGGATTACCGCTAGGGCCAAGATCTCTTCGTAGCTTCTGCAAAAGGTTTGAGTGCTCGGGGCGACAGGGTGTCGCGGAAGAAGGTAGTACTGAGTAAAGGCATTCACGAATGAAAGGTCTTACGAGTCGGATCTTGAGGATGGTTCTTGTAGCACCGGCTGGCTGGATGACGAAGGTATTACCTTACTACCTTCATTCTCAAGTGGCCTAGAACGCCTCAGTTGCTACTGTTTTGTAGAGCACTAAAGATTCAGGTTAATTACTCTGAAGAGAGACTAACAATATCCGTTAAAATTAATTCAGAACCACTGTTTTTATAAAAAAAAACATTTTTTTCTTATATTACGAAATACTGAACACATAATGTATATTAACATGAACAAGGAGTCTTCTTCCCCAACTTACAGGTTCCCTATTATACATGTGGCATTTGGCTCTGATTTTCAGATAACTTGTTATATATAGGATGTCTAGAGAGGAAACGTTAAAATTTGGAAAGTAAGCTCGTAAGACAATTTTAAGCATATTTTTTGTCATAAACTAATTGGATATTCTGCATGGCTGAGCCGCAATTACACTAAAATGTTGGTTTGAAAAATGCTTTCTAGGCAAAAATTGGCATTACAGAATTATAGAAGCTCTCCAGAAACATGTAAATTGTTTATTGTTTACAAAAGAAATGAATATATTTTTCTTGAGAAAAAAATTATCCGTGAAATAAAAAAAGGAGTCGAATTGGGTTGATGTCTATTAGACATCTGTGTGAAAAAACCGTAGTCGGCTGTTCCTTTTACTGCTACCTATCCCTGATTCTCTCGCTACGATTGCCTGAATGTGTGAGGACACAATTATTCGTCGTCATAAGCGGGAAAATCTGTACCATACTATATCATTTTATAAACGATTTCTTGTTGAACGATATAGACCGTTTATCATGCTGGAATACAAAAAACAGTGGTGGAAGAGATGGCAATCGTTAGCAGTGCAGTGCAGTGCATGGGCGGATGCTCTATTGTAACTGACAACTCAACAACTTACCTACAATAATAGCTATAACAGTATGTTTTTGATAGTGAAAATACACACTGCATTTCTAAAATAAATACATAGCATTCCATCAAAATTGCAATCATTCGGGATAATTCAAAGGAATTACTTGAAATAAGAGATAATTGGATTGAATAATTGTTACATTCTGGCTGCGGCGGCGGCGGCGGCGACTGGCTCACTCTGGTTGCTGGCGGCGGACTGACGATTTCGCTAGCGTGCAGTGGGACGCTGGTGACATCGCGTTCGAAATAGCATTCAACCAATCAGAGTTGATCTCAACTTGGTGCAATTAAAGGAAATTTACGCTATGCTTCAATTATAAATGAATGAATTATGTGATTACGCGCCAAACTGAAAATTAGACATGTATTCTTGGCTATCCGGGATGAGCCGCGTCTCAGTTAATTGGACTGACGTTTCGGCCATCTTGCTGTGACCGTCTTCAGAGCTATACTGCTGACATTTTAATATGTGATTGAAAATTAGACATTTTAATATGTGATCTGAGGCTAAAATATAAAATTGCCGTTATGGCGTAATAGTTTGCGGAAAAAGTATCGCGCAACATGGCGAGCGGTGGGGCCGTGCGCGTAACGAAGAATTCATAAAGTGGCTGCGGCCTGCAAGGATTTTCCGAGAAGGCGTCGCGAGACATGCAGCTGCGCTGATGCGCTGGCCGTGGGCGGATATTAGAAATTGCGGACGGGCGTACAGCTGCGCGAGTTACGCAACTGTAGCTGGTAACCAACACTGGTTGGTCAATTCGTTGCGTGTTGGAATACAGAGTACAAAACACAGTTCAATATAATTAAACAATTACTTTTACTATATTTAATCACTGATCCATGACAAGGGGTGCGTATTAAATTATACATAATATACCTTTAAATGATTGTATTAGATAAACTTGTTCTAACAAGTTGATTATGCATCCAGAGCGTCATAAGGGTTCTAATGATCGAATGGCGAAAAAAAGCCCGAAGGTCTTTGGTTTGAGGGCATTTTGTCACCGGAGGTCATTAGAACCAGTTAACGTTCGTGGTTCATATATGATTTTATTTTGTATCTAATTTTATTGATTTGGATTTACTGATTACTTATAATTACTTTATTAGTAATCAGTAATATATTGGTTTGTTTTTTCATAATTCCCACCATAAGAGAACATGTAGCATCATTCAAGTGTTTTCATATTTCCTTCGTAATCACGATCCTCTCGAACCAGGTACGTTATGCAGTGTATATCGAGATCCACATCAAAGGCAATAACACGTTTTATGAGTACAAAAAGATGTTTAAGCATGCAACAGTGTTGACGCGCGGCGCGCACGCATGCGCAGGGCACAACGCGGCGGCGCTGGGGCTGGTGTTCTACTTGAGCCTGTCGGTGTCGGCCATCCTGCACCACCTGGTGGACAACGCGGTGGAGGTGCTGGGCCACGTGGGCGCGGTGGCGCGGCTGCGCGAGATGCAGGCGCTGCCGCAAGAGGAGGACCCGGCGCAGGACGACGAGGCGTCGCTGCCCGCCGACTGGCCGTCGCCGGCGGACGTGGAGTTCCGCGACGTGCAGCTGCGCTACGGCGCCACGGGGGCGCTGGCGCCTCCGCGGGCCTGTCATTCCGCGTGCGCGCCGGCCACAAGGTGGGCGTGGTGGGCGCACGGGCGCCGGCAAGTCGTTCGCTGCTGGCGGCGCTGCTGCGCCTGCGCCGCTGGCCGGCGGGCAGGTGCGCGTGGGCGGCGCCGACTGCGCGCGCCTGCGCATTGCGCACGCTGTGCGCCGCGCGGTCGCCGTGTGCCGCAGGGAGCCCGCGCTCTTCTCGGCCGCTGCCCGCAGCTGGACCCGAGGGGGCGCTGCCGACGCCGCGCTCTGGGAGGCTTGGACGCCGTGGGGCTGCGCGCGCTCGCCGCGCCTCCGCAGGGGCTGGACGCGCCGCTGGGGGCGGGGCGGGCGCGGCGCGGCGCAGCTGAGCGCCGGCCAGCGCCAGCTGCCTGTGCGTGGGCGCGCGCGCTGCTGCGCAGGTGCCGCCTGCTCGTGCTGGACGAGGCCACGGCCAACGTGGACCCGCGCGCAGACGCCCTGCTGCAGGCTGCGCTGCGCAGGCAGTTCGGCGCGTGCACTTGCTGACGGTGGCGCACCGCTGCACACCGTGGCCGACTGCGACGCGTGCTCGTGCTCGACGCCGGACGCCTCGCCGTGAGTCGCCCGCTGCCTTCTCTTACGCCTCTTGTGAACAGCTGCGACCTCTCCGTCTCCATTCCCTCGCCAACAACCTCGTCTTCACTTTGTGCTTGCTTGCCATTTCACGCTTACTTTCTTCTGCTGTCCCTCAGTCTCTGCCTCCATCTCGTTAACTATTTCAAGCAAATTCCAACAGAAGCTCTGTCGGCATTTCATGTTCACTTTCTACTGCTACCTCCCCGACTTCATTCTCTGAAGACTTCTTTTCTTCTGCTACCTGAACAAATCGCTTCTTTCTCCAAGAAGCTCTGTAGCCGTTACATGTTCATTTCTTTTCTGCTCCCCCTACGTCTCCCTTCCGTCTCCGAGTCACTCTGTTCGCTTCTTTTCTAGAGCTACCTCTCCGTCATGCTTTCTGCACCAAGAAGGTCTGTAGGATTTTCTGTTGATTTCCTTCTTCCTGCCCCTACTTCTTCATTCCTTCTCCAAGCTATCTTGTCGTATGTTAACTGTTTTCTTCTGCAACTTCTTCAGATCGTTTCGTGCAACAAGAATCACTCTCGGCTTGTTCTGTTCAATTTCTTCTATTTATCTCGCTTCCTGTTCCAAAGACCTCTAATAATCTCTCTGGGTCACTTTGTATCTTTTTTCTTCCTTCACTTATCCACATAGCTGTATTGACTTGTATTTTAAACTTGTTTATTGCTACCGCTCCACTTTATAATCTTCTCAGTGCCATGTCTTGGCTTGATCTGGTGTTGCAGTCTTTTTGTCACTTTCTCTCTCAAATGTCTATTGACTTCTCCAATCCGCCTTTTGCTTGCAACCTTTTTCGTCTCCTTCGTTTCGTTTCGTTTCGTTTCGTTTGCGTCTCGCAAATTACATGCCGTTAGCGTGGTCTCTTCTGCGCAGGAGTACGGCCCTCCGCACATGCTGCTGCGGGACGCCGACGGCGCCTTCTCGCGGATGGTGAGCGAAGCGGGGGCTGACACGGAGGCTCTGGTGCGCCGCGCGGCGGAAGAGGTGAGGACAAAGGGGCAGGCCACCAACCGGAAGGTCCTAGCCTGCCACTCCCGACGGTGGCACGAGTTTCTACCCCTGCTTCTCAGCTAGGTCGAATTCAGACGCTGCCTAGAGGAGAATTCTGGAGGCCGGTTGCTCTTATCGGTAGTTTTCTCTGACCAGCACCAGGCAAATGCCGGTGCAGCACCCTAACAAGTAGGCAACGGACCGCGCGCGATATTTCCTCCTCCTTTCTTGTCCCGTCCCCGCTCCTTAAACATACTTACACTTACATGCACAACATTACGACATATGCCGGGAGACCGGGTGGGAACTTAGAACTTACCCCGGCTGGGGCGGTGCCCCGCTGGTGGGAGATACCTGGTTGGGGAAAGCCTTGCTAACCGAGGTATTGGCACCGTATCTCACCATCCAAAAATCATAGCTATTTCTTCAGCAAAAAACGTCCACTACACTTACTGGACCAATGATCTTCGCCGAGGCGCGCCGGGAATCAATAATCAATCAGCGAACAAAAGGCTTCGTTCGTATCGAGTTTTCAAAAGCCAACATAAGGGAGACTAAATGGCGTACGAGAATCGGTTTCAGCATGAACAAACAGCGCGTCTATTGTACCGCGTGTTGCTCACCGCGTTAAATATCACTACTGCCACCCGCTGCGAGGACTCAAGTGGTTGAGGAGTCATCGCTCGTAAAACAAAGTTGGCGTTTCGAGACTTAATCAGAATAATCCACCACACAAGTAAGTAATAAGTTATGCAAACATGCTACTAGCTATCTCCAACAATGCCGTCGTCGGAATGAGCACGACGTATCATTGAGAACTCGCACCAAAATTAATTCGAGAGAACGGGTTTATGAACAATCTTAAAGACACAGTACCGGAATATTGAAGGTGAATACGTAAGAAAATTAAAAGAGAATCTACAAGAACTTTGAAATAATTTTAAAACGAATTATAGTCCTTTTATCCACAGTACAAAGAAGCGTGCCTGACACTGATCAGAGATGATCATGAAAGTAAGGCTTGGTCCAATTTTTGTGGGCGAAGATTAGATGATATTTAAGTAATTTCAAATCGATGAAATAACTAAATAAAAAGTTAATTTAATTACAATTTTAATTATGAATTATGAATGGCTATTCATTTAACAATTGTTATATTCATTTATAAACACAACACATTGCAGATAAAATATTGCCTCAAAGAAAGCAAATTGGAAAAATGACCCCTAGTATTTATCCCGAACTTCAGAAGGCAGGTCGTGAGTGACACATCTCAGAATGATTAAGATATTTACATGCTATCGGGCCAATGTGTAGATATGATTAGATTTATTTAGTCAATAATAGTAAAAATTGTATGTGACAGGGAGAAGATCATCTACACACGTTTTTTGAGCTCCATAATCCCTTCACAACATTTTAACTACAAAACGTTGATAGATGAATAAAAATGTAAAAATAAAACAAACAAAATAATAATAATAAAATTAAAAAACGAGAAATAACTAACATTTAATTAACTCGTTTTATAAAAAGTTCATTTTCAATAAAAATACATTTCTTAAAAAATACCATATTTGAATAGCTAAACGAACGGCAGATATGTTTGTTTTTTTTTTTGCATTGCTAACAAAATAGTAACTCACCCCCGACTCTACTCCTACAACTACCAGCATTGCAATCAAAAGGAGAGCTCAACAAAACGTGCGCATATTGAAGGTACATTTATGTCCAGTAGCAAAACAAGGGACTACCTCAGCATGCGCCCAATGGATTAGGGAAACTGGACGAAAACCTGATCAAGATGGGGATCATTGGCCCGGAAGCTGAAGTACATTACTTGTCACAGTCTTCAAGCGCCCGGGAGTTTGGTTTAAAGCACAACTAAAGTGTGTTATTTAGAAAGCAGAAAAAAGCCAACAAACTCACACAAACACAGAAATCACCAAACCCAAAGAAGTCAGCAGAAAAAAAAAGCAGGACAAACAAAGAAATCAAGCGAAGAAAAAGCAATAAACGAAGGAAAAAGACAGAAGCGAGAAACGAAAAACCAACGACCGGCGGCTAAAAAGCCAAATTAGCAAGAACAGCAAAAATAGAAAACCCAAAAACAGGAAACATCAACACCCCACATACAACAAAGCGCGCATCCATAACACAAAGAAAGCCAAACAGCCCAAACCAAAAACAGGCAAAAAAAGGAAAATAGTTCGTGTCTGCTCTGTGTGACAGGTTGGAGGACGGCGACCGAGCTTACGTCCCGAGGACTGACGAACGAGCTAACTCCGCCGCCCCGCTCTCCCTACGCCCGCCGCGCGCCCCACCGCTCGAGGCAGCCGCTATCACTAAAGATCGGACAGCAGTAAACAATTCCGTACGGACGCGACGTTGTACCTCACGGAGCAGGGAACAGTGGATTTCGAGATTGAATGAAAAGAGATTGAACTTGATTGCTTACGCTAGAAACGCTGCGGGAGGCAGTGGCGATGCCATCTGCGAGCAGTTTAGGTGTATGTCCGTCCTTTCTTATCCGACTCACGAGAGCTCCCGCGGCCCAAAATGAAAAGGCTCGGGTAGAGCAATGGTATCATCATGCCGGAGATGTCTCGGTGCTCGAGATGGTGCATCGATGCATTGGAAAGGCTCAGCCATCCTTTTAGAGTTCAACATGGCCGTGTACTTCAGGACGATCGATCGCCGGAGTTCACCCTCGCTGCTTGCATCGAGGCCTAGTGCCATTGCAGTTTTTTCCCCCGTCGCTGTAGCAAGGAAAGCATCGCAATGCCTTGCAGATTGTTGGTTGACTCAAAAACATAGCCTGCTTTTCATTATGCGAGGAATGTCTTACGTATAACTCTCTACTCCAAATTGAAGTCTGCGACCGCGACCACCCCTTGTCCTCCCCTTCACTTCGCAGATGCTACTCCAGAATGTGATGCAATTTCAATTCCAGACACATTTTGAAATAAGTTAAATGGGTTTGGTTATTTACTCCTTGGGGGAAAGCGATATCCACGTTACGCTCTTTTTGAGAAAAAAAGGAAAAAAGGCCTTGATCACACTTGAGCTGAAACAGTGGCGGTTCTTCAGGATTGGCAAGCCAGGCATTGCCTACCCTGATGTATATGCATTCCTTAGATACATTCCACGCATAAGACAATTTAAATGACTCTTACAGTTTTCGTAAGTATTTTTTATCTGAAAATATAAAATAAATGTTTCATTATTGTGGCACGTGGCTCAACATTGCAACGAAAATCACATCACTTCTCATACTAGGTACATTGTATGTAATAATTACCTTATTTTATCTGCCAAATACTAAGCTTCAATTTCAATGATAGTTTTTATACCCGTGCACAAATTGTGTTTCAATATAATTTTCTGATTATCGAAACTTTTATTAATAATAACAAATATTTATTGAGTTACATATGCAATTTCAATCGTGGACAAGTCAGATGTGATATGTACGGGTGCACATGTCTTTCTGAGTTCCAGATTCTCCCTTACTACACATTATTTTGAATAAACGTATAAAGCAACATTTTAATTAAGAAATGCTCAATTATATGCGATAGAACCGCAAGAGACATTTAGATTTCATTTTGAATACACTACTAACAAATAATTAACCTTCTATTCTCTCGTGTGAATCAAAACTTGTGCAGAGGGGTAAGTTACATTTACTGACCAGAAATCAAAGCAAGGGGACCATCTCAGCATTTGTATTATTAATTATTCGAAAAGGTTGTCAATTACTTCACGTCAAGTTCCAAAATGTCGACTTGGACAGGTTCCATCAATTTCCGGCCCCCCTGGTGGCGAATATTTCAGATACCGCCAGCGCTCGGGGCAACAATTTCTGCAGGAATCTTAGCAATAAAGGGAGGCGTTACAGTTTGTGCAAATATTCTTTCCTGCGCATGCGCAAGTTGAGCTGCCCATCCACCGCAGCTCACTGTACCAATAAAAAAGATTTTCACTATATCGACTGACAAGCATAGGATTCCAACTGTTACAACTTAGGCTACCAATGGATATCAGCGAAAGTTGGATTTGTGCGTAAATTATAACAGAATAATAAAAACGCTTTAATAGAGGATCGCAATGCATGGGCTGTCTCACATTAAGACGAGCCGTATCTGCCTTCTAGACCGCAATGTAGACATAACCTCCACCGCAAGCGGCGAGACATCTTCGTCATGTTTGTGCCTAAGTCTAAATGCTGCAGGGTTAAAGGTTCTACGGACCAATTCTACTGCGTAGCGGAAGACCCCAAAGAAAACGACAGGTACTCCAAGGCATCCGGCTATTGTGCAATCCAAACTCTCATTCTCAGAAAGCACACGTTTGAATGAAGCTCGCTTGTGACAAGGTTTGAGTTCCTATATTCAAGACCACCAAGATGATTTAAGTGGCATACAGATCGCTGAAGGGCGTGGCTTAAATTTGGAGGAGTCACCAAAATGATTAAGAAACATTTTTGTTGAGATTTGTTTTTATGTAGAGAATTGTGTGTACAGAAACAAATCATATGCTAATAATCTTACAAGTTACTGCAAAGCAATGAAGGATCAGTAAATAGTGTTTATACCTTGTTTTTAGAAAAGTTTTGTTTTCTTACATCTATTAATATATTTTCTTATATGTTTTAAGACACGAACTAGTGAATTATTTGAAATTGACCCAAATAGAGGTAAATGCCTACCGTGCTGTATTAATAATTATATGAATTAACAATGTAACGTGATAGGGGGAAATGCAGCTTGACATTATATGTAATAATCTCAAAACAATAATAAATAATGTTGATAAATGTTATTTATTCAAGTAAGAATATATGTACAAAACTGTTATTCCTTCAATCTTTCAAATCTCTGCATTTTGTTCTAAATAGTAATAAGCCAGGGACAGAAGAACTACTATGTCGTCCCATTACATCATTTCAACAACCACAACTGAAAAATAAGTTTCTACATAAATAATAAGTCATTGAACCGTTTGTGGAGCATTTT